CATCGATGAGAGAGAAACATCGATCAGCTGCCTCCTGCACATCTCCCACTGGAGATGTGCCCGCAACCCAGGTACATGCCCTTGACCGGAATCGAACCTGGGACCCCTCAGTCCGCAGGCCAACGCTCTATCCACTGAGCCAAACCGGTTTCGGCAAACATTTTCTATCTTAACTTTTGGATTAGATGATTTTTTTAACACTTCAAAGTAGCTGAATATAATTGCACTATTCAAACTTAAAAGTTCTGGCTAGAAAATATATTAAATTCTACCATAGAAATCCTTCCATGATCCTACTGAACATGCATTCTAATCATAAGGAAACTCAGTCTTCCTTGCATTCCAATGAAAAACGGAGCCAAATTATGTGAAGCTCCCTCTTTATTTCTTGCCACAAGGAGAGAAAACAAAGACCTTTGAAGAGATAGCATTGAATTCAGTTCTACCTAAGTCCACCATGCAAAATGCCATCTCAGTGTGGGACGCTGCATTGCCTGGTAGTTGGTTTATTTGTTACTCATCCAACATATTTATTACATGAATCCTTGGTAATATTTAAAGAACATTGATGAATGTGTGAACGTTTTCATCAACCTGGAGAACATAAACATTGTCCTAGGAAGTGTGAAAACGCTCCTTTGGCCGTGTAGCCAGGAGTGCTTGATGAACCTCATGCTTATTTCCTGTCCACAAAAATAGAGTTCCTTCGTTTGCTCACTGCCATCGGGCTGTGTCTCCTCATCGGGGCCACATTTAAATCCCATCAGCTGAAATGTCCTTATCCACAAAATGAGGACAAAATGTTCTAAAATTAGTAACACTGCTACAAATTCATATCGCTGACTGTGCGAAGGCCTAATATAATATACTTTGTCCCATTTAAACCGTACGACAGCCCATTTATTGTATTTACCCTTTCACAGATGAGGATGCTGTCGCTCAGAGAAGTCAGTTAATGTGAAGATAGTCACACAGCTAGAAAATGGCACTGTTAGGATTTTCTATACAAAACCTTTTTTGTTGTTCATTAATTATTCAGCATTAACATTGTATTATTTTATTTGAAGGATTATAGATTCTCAGTTGTATGCAATACCAAGAGGCTGCAATGTTTTCCTGTTCTTATGAATATTATCAGCAATGCGCTGCTTGGAATGTTTAACCATACACAACAGATTCGAACTCTAAGAGGCCTGTTTCCTCTAGTAAGTATTGGGTTTACTCATTCCGAACAATTAGCAGTTTGATAAGTCCCTTGTGTGTGTTCCTTCTATAGCTTTTACATATTTATAATTCATTCTTAACCCTAAAAAGTTAACTTTGGCCTTATATTTTAAACAGATTGTATTTAACAGAATATGATTTTCCCCCTTCATTATGCTCAAAGAATTCTCATGGTGGAATACTGTTCCATAGTATGTCACAGTCTCCCAGAAAGTCTTCTAAAAAGATTTGTAGTTGATTGCATGGGTATATTGGAGAAGAATGAGACGTGTGTGTGTGTGTGTGCATGCGCGCGCGCACTGACTTAGAAATCAGGAACACTTGTTTTAGAATCTTATATTTCTAATATAATTTGTTGGTGAACCCTTCATTGACTAAATGGGTAGTCGTTGACTGCTTTGAAGGAAAATTTGCCAGTTCTTGGGCTAGATGCATTCTGATGAATTCCGTCACCAACCCGCAGTGGCTCTGCATGGGGGTGAGGGGGTCTGGTACACACAGACTGTGTTCTCATGACTCTTAGTCCGCTGCCTATGCTGTGGCCTGCCAGCTGGCAGCAGTGCTTTAGGCCGGGTCAGCAGAAGGGTCCTTATCCTTGGCCTTCAGTCACATCCCTCCCTCCCTTAATCCCTCCACCCCAGGTGTGACAGTGGCTTCTCACGTCATCATCCTTGGCTTTTCTGCTCTTTCCACCCGTGTAATCGTGGCATGATTAATTTTGCTCTGTTTTTTTTTTCCAAATATATATTTTTATTGATTTCAGAGAGGAAGGGAGAGGGGGAGGGAGAGAGAAACATCAATGATGAGAGAGAATCATGCATCGGTTATCTCCTGCTCACCCCACACTGGGGATTGAGCCTGCAATCTGGGCATGTGCCCTGACCGGGAATTGAGCCGCCGCGACCTCCTGGTTCATAGGTTGACGCTCAACCACTGAGCCACGCCGGCTGGGCCGTGGGGATTTAAAGTGTATCTCCTTGAAGATGGGCTCGGTGGTATCGAGTTGTCCTTTCAGGGCTGTTCTTTACAACATATCACCAGCTGACGTAGTTTGCACGGATCCATCGCTGGGTTTACTGAGGAAGACCTGCTGTTGCTCAGGCCTGAACCACCTGTTTCTCTAGGACACTAATTCTTGAATCTTTTTTTTTATTATTATTTTGTTAAAAAAAAACAAAAACACCAAACATGTAACATGAAATTTACCACCTTAACTATTTTTAAGTGTATAGTTCAATAGTGTTAAGTATATTCACATTGTGGGAAACAGGTCTCTAGAACTTTGTCATCTTGTAGAACTAAAATGCTATGCCCATTTAATAAGAACTCTTCATTCCTCCCTTCCCCGGACCCTGGCAATGACCATTTTACTTTCTGTTTTTACAAAATTTGACTACTTTTGATACATCATATAAGGACAGTTGTATAGTGTTTGTCTTTTTGTAACTGGCTTTTGCCCAGGATAATTTCCTCAGAGTTCATCCATGTGCCAGGATAACTTCCAAAGTTCATCCTAGCATGTGCCAGGATTTTTTTCCTTTTTAAAACTGAATAAGATTCCATTGTGTGTATGTACTACATTTGGTTTGCCCATTTGTCTGGCGATGGACATTTGGGCTGCTTCTTGAGTATTCTGCGTAGTGCTCCTATGGAGTGTATGAGCAGATATATCTTTGAGATCCTGCTTTTGATTCATTTTCATATATACTCTGATGTGGGTGGGCCCTGAGTTATTTTTTTATTCCCCCCGCCTTTTTTTCTAGGAATTAAAACCTCACGTTAAATTATCAAAAATCATCTCCCTGCCACCATGCATAGATGTTGATGATCTAGATCAGTGATGGCGAACTTTTTGAGCTCGGCGTGTCAGCATTTTGAAAAACCCTAACTAAACTCTGGTGCCGTGTCACATATAGAAATTTTTTGATATTTGCAACCGTAGTAAAACAAAGACATATTTTAGGTATTTATTTTATATATTTAAATGCAATTTTTCTTAACAAAGAAAAATCAACCAAAAAAATGAGTTCGCGTGTCATCTCTGACACACGTGTCATAGGTTTGCCATCACTGATCTAGATGTACACTTTTAATTTGTTTTTTCAAAATATTTTGAACAGCGTATTCTTTATGGTTATTAGTATTTGTTTCATGTTTTTAAATATTTGCTAGCTTAAAGTGCCTTTTATGTTTGCAGAATGTGTTCTTTATCTGGACTGGTCTGCCAGAAGGCTCCTTTTTCCTATTTTCCGTTGTTTGCAGCATTGCTCCTTACATCGCCATGAGCAGTGTCAGCGATTACAAAGTAAGAAAAAGGGGGGGAAAGAAAAGAGACTTCAGGAACTTTAATAACTGTTTTTTAAATGCTGTGTGTTCACAATGTAGTCCTGTGAAGAAAACATTTAAGCATATGTTTAATTTTAGATAATGTAGTTAAGCATTATTTCTATCGAGTTAGAAATTTACTTCTAAAAGCACAAAATACTTTTTATTTTAAAATTAAAGGAAAAGTACCATCATTTCACAGGGATTCAAGTTAATCTAATCCTTCAAAGGGGTATATTATAAAACTTTTGACTATAGAAGTCATTGATATTGACATTAAAGATCAGATTTAAGACTTGAGCCCCTTTTCTACTGTGGGGAATACAATTTTTTTTTGTTATATTTGTATTTGGTTATGTCCATTATTTAAGTCCAACAGTTCAATGAAATTTAGGTGAGTCATTCTTCACCCTTCTGAGCCAGTCTATTTGGATAATGGAGAATTTATTGGCCTGCAGGTCACAAAAATGATATTTCTTTTGAAGGAAATTCATTCCTGAATCATGATGAAGTCTGCTTTTCTATTTATTATGCATAAGTTAAGGGGGTGTTGTGAATCAAACCTACATAATGAAATAATACTAGTATTCACTGTCAAAAATGGTCACTTTAATGGAATTCACTAAATTCCATTGAACAGTATATGCATAATTAAAATTATCAGAAGATTTGACAGTATTTGTTTAGATTGTATTTGACATATCTTCCAATGCGTTTGTTCTGGATTTGGACTTTAATTGGATCTATGTATGTCCTGTGTTTTTCCATCAGAAGAGAACTAAGTCCCAGCTATGGACTTCAGGCCTCTGCCCTTCGGCCTACTGGTGTGGGCAGGCCCTGGTGGATATTAGCCTCTTTGCTTTCTTTCTTTATTCATCGTTTTTAATTTTATGCCTGACAAACGTAGCAGACCGTTTTTTCACAACTCGACTTGTGTTTGCTTCGGTGAGTGATGCATTACATAGACATTGTCTTATAAGGTAAATTCATGATACATTTTAACATTTGCTATTTTATGTAATCAAGACATTTCCATTTTTATTTTGCCCCTAATGGAAACAAAAAGCATTTGAAGTGTATGTTCAACAAAATATTTTAAAATACTTACAATTTAAATGTTCCCTCAATTCATATTTTATTTTTTGACTTTGATATTATTTATATTACCTTTTAGGTTGTGATTATATTTGGTTATGCAGCTTCTGCCATCTTTTTCACATATGTGATATCATTTATTTTTCGCAAGAGAAGAAAAAATAGTGGCGTTTGGTCATTTTGTTTCTTTATTGTAAGTATACGTACAAACATATCAATACAGAGATAAAGTTCCTTTTTCAACTTTGAATGTAACAGGAAACATAGTCACTTTTGCCCTGAGCAATAGGAAATGAACACCTTAAAATTATACCATAAAAAGGAGAGAGAATGTAATATGTTGCTGATTCAACAGTATTTCTGAAGAATTCATCTACAGCTCTTTGACTAGAGTTTTACAGAGTAACTTACAGAAAACCTGAAGCGCAGGATGCCACTATTGAGTTTATAAATCCTTCAAAATACAGGGCTTCCTGGCAATACTAGAACAAAAATTGGCTTGATAAAATTTGACAGTCCAATTCATTTCTACAGTGTTTAAGAAGTTGTCTTTTAACCTCAGATGCTAGAAATTTCAGAGATCAAAGATGTTTTTATACCTACAGCAGAGCATTTATTAGTAAATAGGAATGAATGATTCCAAAATTACTGAAAACTTGGATGGAAATGTTTACCAAGATGCTGAACACCCAGTGTGTCTAATCCCAGCTCTTTAGGTTTAGGGTTAGCTGATATACTCACCCCCAAATCTTGAAGTTGAAGTCCTGAACCCAACCAGAGGCGGTCTGCTAAGAAAATACATCTCACATTGCCCACTGACTTCTGTGAGAAATTAGCCTTAGACTATCTGGTCAGTAGGTAGCTGTTGACTTATCCCTTCTCAGAGGACAGTTTTCTGATTTGGCTGCTCTAATTGTATTTCTCGGTATGCAGTAGATAATATCTGTTACTACCCCTCTTACCACCATCAGGACAAATCAATACAAGCTCAGAAGTTACGGAAAGATGTACAGAGATACCTCACTCAGAAGACTGGCTTTGAGGCAGTCATGAGGATCTGGTGCACCAAACGTCTTTGCTTTCATACTTTGCATGGGGGCATTTTGTTCAGTCAACAGATTCACTGCCTTTGTCCAGTGTAAACCCAGGTGTTGTGTAGGCAGCACAGATGTTAGCAGAAGAGAGTCTAATAGTTGATTTCTTTTCCGTCAGCGCTCTTGTATATGTCCAGCAAAGGTTAATGAAGAATCTGTGTTCATACTTTGTGTTTTCTAGTCATTTCAACTCTGAATGAAAGTCTTTTTCAGAGCTGATGCCCCAGCAGTGTCAGGGTTATTGGCCAATATGACTGTTGACATGTCTGTTACTGCCAGCCTAACTGAGGCTCGAAATCTCCTAGTGAGTTCCCGCATAGACACTCTTTACACTTACTGTCCTTCAGTCCTAAGCAATTGGCAACCTCCAGTCATTGTTCCTTTTTCTTTGTCTTCCCCATTCTTGTGTTGGTTCTCCTTAAATAGAAGCCATTCCAGACTGGGACTAATACAAGTCTCTATGAATGTATTTTTTGCTTTGTGTCAAGTGAAAAATCAGCCCCTGGTTTACCTTATACTCACAATTCATCCTGGTTTGTATAGATTTGACAATATCTCAGGTAGGGGAGCACTTGCATCAACAGGCGAACCATACCTCCACCCCTTATCCTTCAGCCTTCAGTGGGACCTCTTCTCACGGATGCAGGCTCCATAGTGATGTTTTGGGTTGGACAAAAATGTGGATGGAATTTTCTTAGAAAAGGCATTCTTTCAGAACTTGAAACACCATCATCTTCCAGAACAATAGCTTTCATTTCTTGGCGTATAGAGACCATTTTGCCTAATATTTGATATATATAATTGGGGGCAAAAGTCTAATGAGGCAAAGTACTTTCAATACCTGGTAGAAGGCAAAATAGGTTCTGCATTCTCATGTAATGAGCTCCTCTTGCATAATTCCCCAGCTGCAAGTGCCTAAATGTGCAAATGAAGAAATCTGACGTGGTTTCTAGGGAAAGTCATGATAATGCAGAACACCTTTTCCATTAGGTTTGTAGACAAATGTTTGTGGATTAAGATGTTCTCACTGTGATGGGAACAGACTATAGCAAATAAAGGACCACAGCAGAGAGTTGAACATGAGACTCTGAAACACTATTTTTCAAATAGAATTATATCTATATATGATTGAATACCATCTTTTTCTTTGCTGCCAACTAGTTTTGAATTATTATGTATTAAAATAAGGCAGTATTGCAGAGGCAAAGTCAACTTTTTAAAACAAGGATTTTTGTTCAACAAGTAAAAAAATTACATCATTTCTGATTTTTTTTTTCTTTTTCATATTTATCTATTTTAGTGCACTTATCTATTTTATTTTTATACCGTTTAAAAGAAGCTGCACGTTAAAAGCTACATGGAATATTGAGATGTCAGGTTTGAAAAATTCAAGATTATCTAATTTAATTCCCCTCATATTTTTAGAATGAAAATAATTAAGCAACCTGTTTAAGGTCACACAAAAAATAGAGATAGACTCATGAAGAAACCTGAGATCGCAGACCTTATGTCATTCTTCAAGTCAAAAAAATAAGAGCTAGTAACACGGTGGACAATACTGACGTCAAGTTTGTGGTGATCAACATCTTGATTTTAGTAAGCTAAAATACATCTTCACAGAAGCCTCATGCAGGTTACAGTAACTTTATGTCTGCTACAAAGAACTTAGAATATCATTCAAAATTGGTATTGAGGCTAATTACTGTGATAATTGATCTTTCATCACACGGTCAATATAAGTTTAAACCATGCCAGTCTTAGGACTGAGATAATTTTTTGTTACAGGAATGCTGATGGGCAGTACAGTTGTCCTTTAGTGACCTTGGATTTACTTGGAAGGACGGTATAGGCAGTGTCTCCCCATCACTGAGTAAAGCCACAGTCAACAGTTAGTTTCTAGAGTCCAATACACTCCTGTACCCCCAAGGGTGTGGCACTGCAGGGGTGCCTTAGGCCCTTGTCAAAGGAGGAGGAAGCACCCTGTCACCCATATTTCAGCCCAATGGTGGAGGTGGAGTCGCACATCTTAGCACACTGGGCCATTTCCTTTGATGCATTTTGGCATCTTCTCTTGTTCCAGTGGGTGAGAAAGGAAGAAAAGAACAGAAACTTGGAGTCCTCATAGAATAAGCAGAGTCAGCTAAGTGGACTAAAGAACTCAGAGTTATCAAAAATAAGGAGCTAGGAGAAAAAATAGAGAAGTGTGATGTCATGGAAACTAAAAGAAATGTGTAAACATGGACAGTTGTGCAATACCTTTGCAAGGAGATCACGGCGGTTGTAAAATGAGAGAAGTCTTTTGGGTTGGCTATCCAAAATGCTTATTGTGCCCTTCTTACTGAATACTTGATTTTAAGTTTTTGGGTTTTTTCCCCCAATTGTTTTTGATAAGGTAGATTACACATTTCCCCAAAACTTTAAATTTACTTAGTAGCAAAGATAACATTCCTTTTTATATAACAATGTCTTATTATAATTTTGAATATGTAACCTATGTCAGTATAATTTTCTGACATAAAGACTTAGCAATCATTACACCCACCTAGAGTTTTGAATTCTAGCTTCATCCCTCACTAAATGTGTCATCTTGAGGATGTTATTTAATGTCTCTGGACCCTAGATTTCCCATATATAAAAGGGGAAGGATAAGAAGAATACATGGTAGAGTCATTGTGAGGATTAAAGCAAATAGTATATGTTAGTTCTTAATGCCTGGTCATTTGTGTAATATACAATGAATTGAGTAGGTATGATTCTTACCAGTTTTATTATAATTAATACATTAATAAGACCCAGCAAAGGTTTAATAAAGTGTTTAAAATACACTTAATGGCTGATAAACTGATCCTTAAAACAAAAACAAAATATTATTTATAATCTCCACCCCAACATTTACCAGTAATCTAAAAGAAAAATGAGTATTTTGCAATCATAATGCACAATCTCCAAAACATCATTTACTTGAAATGGTGAATTAATGGAGAAGGTATATGACAATTTGAAAATTTCAGTCTAAGTGAGAGGCAATATGGATTTTTCATAAGGTCGTATATATTCTCATTAACAAAAGCATATCCTTTCCCTCTTCCTTCTGAAAGGGTTGTGTCTGCATATAGGAGAATTCTGATAGGTAGGATAAGAATAGCTACATCTTAAATGTTTTCTCAAATATCAATGGCCTGAGTATGTCTGACATGTAATATATTTCAACTTACCTTGTAGACCTCATCCAGCTTGTTAGACGTGATTATAATGAGTTACTCCCTGTCATCTGCCTCGCTTTGGAGCATGGTGTTTGTTCCCTCATTCGCCTTGTATGGATTTCTTGTTTTTATGATAGATGTAAGTTATATTATCAACTGTGTCATTAATTTTGAATATGCAACCTATTAAAATGCTTTGCCCAAATCTATAAAGATGAAAGTAGGCTACCGGTTTTCTGGAGCTAGAGGGTAGGGTGTGGCAATGGGGAGTGACAGCAAATGTATATGATGGAAATGTTCTTAAATTGTGGCATTGCTCTCACAACTCAGTACATTTACTAAAAATCCTTGAATTGCACACGTAAAGTGTACGGATTTTAGGGCATGAAAATGTAACCTCAATAAAGCTGTTAAAAAAGCTTTGCCATACGCACTTTGCAAAACATACACTTATTCAAAACAAACTCCAGATTGAAAAACATTGCCTCATTCAATGGGTATTCATTATCCATTGTGAGGAATACACTCATGGGCGGTATCACTCATTCATTCAAAATGTATATTAAACACTATTCTGTGTCAGGCACTGTGCTAGTCATTAGGGTCATCTGATGGACAAGATGACACAGTCCTTCCTTTGACAGAGCTTAGTGGAGTCAAAGGCCAACCTCAAGGTAGTCAATGCAATGGACTTCAAGGTTGCAAAGGGGAAGGGCAGAGCTGTAAGCACAGCCGAAGTGCTCTGGAGAGTCAGAGAATTCTTCTAAGGGGAAGCAATGTTTAAACTCGGTCCTAAAGACTATGAATTAATTAGAGGGAGAGTGGGGTGGGAGGTAATAAGCATGTTCTGTGGAGGGAAGCAAAGGCATCGAAGCAGAAAAGACGAGAAATCATCAAATAAACCAAATGAGATTCAAATGGAAAGAAATGTACAATGAGGTGAGCAGAAGAGCTCAGTCAGGAACATAATTTCGGGGGCCCGGCCTCATCCTGAATGAAACAGCTTTGAACAAGGTAGCGAGGGCTTCCCCAGGCTTGTGTTCTTGGGAGCCTGTAAGAACACTTTTCCATTGGCTGAGCAATGCCTGGGATTCTCCATGGAAAATGTATTCCTCTGTTTAAAGCATTTTTTTCCTGAAAGAGAAGTAGACCTGCAAAGTGAAATACATTGATATAGACTTGTGACACATTATTTAGGCGTCATGAATTACTTTTTGAGTGCAGTGATTGATGAGGAAAGAATAACACAATAGGACTAAATAGGAGGTGGAAACAATCACCATTGTCGGATCAGGAAGGGACCCTGAAAAGGCTGGTGATGGCTCTTTAGGACAAATATTGTTGACCCCTAGAATGTATCGGGATGAAGGCATCTCTCTCTGTTATGCTTTCAGCAAACATTAAGCCAAAATAGTGAAGAAAAAAAGGGGAATTGGAGAAGACAACATAGGTTATACCTGCTCGTTGAGAGACATTCAGAGTTGAGTAGGGGTCCCCTCACGTCTCTGCAGAGAATTGCTTATCACCCATGCACATAAGGGACTCAAGCTTAAGAAAAACATTCAATATGTGAAATTCCTTATTACTTAAATGGAAACTGTAAAGCTGATGAATTTTCATTTAGCATTTTGTGTGGGTGTGTTTGTTTTTGCTTTACAGAGAATCTACGAGCACCAAAGACAAAATGAAGACCTATTTTATGACCTGAGTGGAACTGATTTTCTAATATGCCTAATAGTAAGAAGGTTTTTCCAACTCAACACTTATTTTTTTATAGTTATTGTTTGCTATAACAACTACTTAATCTTGCCTAAAGTGTGCCAACTTCAAAGATGTTTTCAATTATAGTCTCAGAATAAGTAATTACATTCCAACATGATTCTAAGCCCTAGAGTTATTTTTTTATATGCATGAATGGATAGTATACATCCCGAATTTAATACAAAATTAATTTTTCATGTTTATTTATCCTGTATACTGCCCCCTCCAAATTTGAGAGAGCTTGTTAAAAATACAGATGGAATATAACTGAAGTCCTTTGAATTAGAGATAAAAAAGCAAAAGTTCAATAAAAAAGAAAGGGAAATAATGATTATGTTGATGTATTTAGACCGAAGAAAGGCACTGTCTTTGAATGTAATGCACCGTAGTTTTCTAGGCATAGAAGCAAATGTAGATGTAAGTCCCTGCCCTCACGGAGCTTATTTGTTGGTGAAAGGAGACAGATAATAAACAAACTAGATAATATATACCATGTCAGGTGGTCAGGAAAGGCCTGGCTGACAGATAATCATCTGAGGGAAGCAGGGAGCAAGCTGTAGAGATAGCTTGGGGAAGAGCATTCCAGTAGAGGGGCAGGGGTCACCTGGCTTGTTTGAGGTTCAGGCAGGAGGCCAATGTGGTTAGGGCAGAGTGTCCTGAGGGAGAGCGGTACAAGAGAAGGTCACAGAAGCCATAGGGACACGTGCAGGTGGATTGAAGAGGTTACACAGTGTTCTCGGTCACCATAAGGACTTTGACTTTGTTTGAGTAACTGAGGAGTCACTGGAAGGTTTTAAGCAAAGGACATGTTTCAAAAGAGTAGCTCTAGTGGCTGTGTTGAGAATAGATGTTTGGAGCAAGGGGAGAAGATGGAGACCAGGTAGAAAGGTATTGTAATATTTTTTTAAATTGATTTGAGAGAGAGAGAGAAACATCCATGTGAGAGAGACACAGCAGTCGATGCCTCTGGCACATGCCCTGACCAAGGATGGAAGCCAAAACCTGGGTATATGCCCTGACCTGGAATCAAACCCGCCACCTTCTGGTGTATGGGATGACTGACACTACATCCAACTGAGCCACACCTCCAGGGTTCCTTTTAAAAATAAGAAGAAGAAGAAGGAGGCGGGGGAGGGGGAGGAGGAGGAGATAGAAGGAGAAGGAGAAATGATAAGGACCTGGCCCTGGGTGGGGTAGCACAGACATGGGTGAGAAGTAGTTAGTTGGGTTCTGGATAATTTTGAAGGTAAAACAGGGAGCATTTGCTGGCAGACTGGGTGTGGGTTGTGAGAAGAAGAGTCAGGTTCCACTACGCTGGTTTGTCATTGTGTAGCTGGATTTCTTCCCGGCGTGTAAGATGATTCACATCTCTTTTACCTGAAGACCAAAGGTCACTGACTTAATTCAAATGTTTAAACCATATTTGTGAACAAAATACCTAAATATAACTGTTTTTGTTTGTTTGTTTTTGCTCCTAGCCTTACTTTCAGGCTTTGCTGTTCGCTTTTGTTCTAAGATGCATGGAAATGAAGTGTGGGCAGACAGTAATGCGAAAGGATCCTGTTTTCAGGTGGAGGAAAGCTTCCTTTCATGCTTGATGTCGTATTTTAATATTCCTAAATAGTGGCTGCACTGTTTGTTGTCCTATTGCTACAGGTTTATCTTTACAATGTAGACAGCATGCTGATTTTCACCAGGATCAGCAGATTGCTGGCTTACCGCCAGGAAACGGGGCTCCCAGGCAGAGTTCTGGCACTAACCAGCTGAGGGCGCTTCCAGTCCCTCCAAAATTTAATGAGTCCTCAGATATGCCATTCTGCTGTCCAAGATGGGTACACCTCCTTGAACAGAGGAGATGGGATGGAACTGGTTGAGCAACATAGTTCCACATGCTTTACAAATGTGTGTGTGTGGTGGCGGGGGAGGAGGGGTGGGTTGGGAGTAGGGAGGGAACTCCAGAAAGGGTGAACAACAAGAGATGCTAAGGCCTATGTTGGGCTGATTAGATGGGCTCAGAGAAAATGTAGATGATATGATTTTTAAAGAGGCACGGGTCCTTGTCAACAAATTGGAAAGGGTCAACGATGCTAACTGAAAGAATGGGGGCCACACGGACAAAGGGTTTCTGGTTACCAGGGGTTTTTGGCAAAAGCAGAAGCAGTATGCACAGGGCCATGGTCATCACCAGTTTATTGAAAGAAGGGGGCAGTGGTCATATCACCGGGGGCTGATTCGCGATCCATCTTTGACAAATGGAAAAATCACAGGGCATATACATTTCCCTTTGTCCACAGAATTTCCCCCCAAAGAAGAGAGGCCCGGCCAAATCCAGAGGAACCTATCGATGAAGACGAAGATGTTCAGGCAGAAAGAACAAGAACAGCAACAGCCCTGATGATCACTTCCAGCATAGAGGAGGTAGAAAGCCACGGGACAGAGGGCATGTTAATGGCACTATCCAAAAACTATCCACAGTAGAGGTTGATGTGCCGGTTTTCACTCTGAAAGTTGAGCGTTGGGTGCATTTTCATGATTCTTAACTGTTCTCAGCACTCCCACTTCTTGGGGGTGTCCTGGACGTTCCAAGAAATGTACAAAGCAAGTGGCTCTATTCTTCTATTGATAAAAATGGACTTTGATCAGTTTCAGAACCAAAAACTTCACGAGTTGAGGAATTTACCTGAGTGACATTTGTTTTAGAATCCTACAGAGAGATTGAAATTTTAAGCGTCATTCATTTCTTTGACCTCGATGCCATGATATTCCCATGAGGTTAGACACTTCTGTTCTGGGAAGGGAGTAAGCCAGCTTCCATGAAATGATGCTGCTTCTCTCAGAAGCACGAAATGTTAATGAGTGCATGTTGCATTTGTTTGGGTTTTGTGTTTTGTTTTTTTTAATGTTTGTATTGATGTCAGAGAGGAAGGGAGAGGGAGGGAGAGATAGAAACATCAGTGGTGAAAGAGAATCATTGACTGGCTGCCTCCTGCATGCCCCAGTGGGGATGGAGCCCACAACCTGGGCATGTGCCCTGACTGGGAATCAAACCGTGACCTCCTGGTTCATAGGTCGATGCTTAACCACTGAGCCATGCCAGTCAGGCTGCATGTT